GACAGCAGTGTAGTTCTATTATAGATTTTTATTCTTCCCCTGGCCACTTCCACCTTCCATTCTGGTACATTACCATATCCCCACTCTTGATTTTTTCCATTTTTCACATGTGTGGGTGTGAAAATACACATCAGTTAAGAAGGAACTTACAGTTCACGGCTCTTTACTTCTTTGCTCCTGCTCTGTGAGTTAGATGTGCAGTTTTTTTCACCTGGGGCAGCAGCTTTTTCCCTTTTTTTCCCCACAGTCATATCCCTATTGTAGGCGAGCGTAGGCAAAGGCTGACATCTCCGGTTGATTACGGAGCTGTTGGTGCATCAGGGCACGTCCGTCTTCCATGAGGAGGACACCAAAGGCATCATCTTCCCACAGGCCATTTACTGATCAGAAAGGAGGACAAAAAGAAACAGACCTGATCCTCTGACTCCAGCTCTACCTCGTGACAGTTTCTTATTTTGTATTAATACTGAGATGTTTTTAGCTCTTTATTCGTTTAGCTTTTTTTAAGTAGAGCTGTATGAGGTAGTTGTTCGGTGTAACCCTACAGGCACAGGAAGAGGAATGTTGCAAAGTGAGCGGTGAGCAGAGCCAAAATATGAAATGTTCAGCATGCATTTAGAAAAAATAAGTACACATTTTATTTCCCCAGTATTCTACATTTGTATTTTTATTAGCAGACTATCTAAAAAACATGTGATGTTCACTAGCCTTAAACGGCCAACACACCACTTTGACACAAACAAGCATTTCCAGTCACATTCAAACCTTCAGTCAATTATGGATTAAACACTTAACCTCATTCCCAACCTGTATGTTGTTGAACTGAGCAACACATCGGAATTATTAATTATATTGAATTGTCAGGGTGAAAATGCTGAATTGACACAAAGGTCAAGGAGCAAACGGTGCTTGGAGAGTTTGATAATAGGAAACAGGATTGTTTTTCATCGCTGTTTACAGCCGATCTGAGTGTTGTCCCAATGGTGGTCAACAGATCTTAAACCAGAAGACTGTATTTTGAAGGTGCAGGTGTCGTTA